GTGTGTGTGTGTGTGTGTGTGTGGGTGTTTGAATTAATCTGAACATTTTTTTTACCTCAATGATGACATTCTGATGACATGCTGCTGTAAATCGAGTGTGTGTGTGTGTGTCGTTCTGCTCGACTGAGCTAGCGGAGAGAGAAAACATCTGTCACACGCGTCTGAAGTTTCATTTGTGGCGGATCATCAACATAATGATGGAAACAACAAGCCAATGGCCTCCACGAGCGTGAGTGTGTGTGTGTTTGCTGGATATTTGTCAGTATATCTGGTGTGTTTGGGCTCCTCAGACAGTAACAGGTGGAGATTAATAATCGTATTGTAGATGCATGACCTCAGGTAGGCCATCATAACTCAACGTCTGTTTAGCCGCATGCAGCTGGAGGGAAAAATGATAGCCATGGATAAATAGGCTAACTTTTTTTTCTTATTCTCTTTCGTTGTGAGTTTAACCTGGAGGCACTCATGAACGGACGGCTCTTTTGTCTTTGTTTTGCTCGGACAGACGGAAGACGTGACGCAAACAGAAGTTTCCCAGCAGGTGCCGCATTCAGAGTCCACGGAAAAACAGCAGCCCAAACGGTTACACGTCTCCAACATCCCCTTCCGCTTCCGTGACCCGGATTTACGGCAAATGTTTGGGGTGAGTTTGAGAACTTCTTGTACTATAACACATTTCTGTTTGCTTTCAGCCAGCAGCCTCTTTCATGGTTTCATCACCTGAAGATTCATGCTATTTAAAGGAATAGTTCACACAAAAATTTGCTGAAAATGTATTCATCCTCAGGCCATACATGATGTAGATGGGGGTTTTTTTCTTCATCAGATTTGGAGAAATATAGCGTTCCATCACTTGCTCATCAATAGATCATCTGCAGTGAATGGGTGCCGTCAGAATGAGAGTCCAAACAGCTGATAAAAACATCACACTAATCCACACCACTCCAGTCCATCAGTTAATGTCTTGTGATTCCATTATTAAGATGTTTTTAACCTCCATCCTCTATTCATGATATTGCTTTCTGGACCACAAAACCAGTCATAAGGCGATATTTTTTTTTAATTGAGATTTATGCATAGATTTATATCTAAAAGCTGAATAAATAAGCTTTCCATTGATGTATGGTTTGTTAGGATAGGATAATATTTGACTGTATTTACAAGTATTTGAAAATCTGGAATCTGAGGGTGCAAAAAAAATCTAAATATTGAGAAAATCGCCTTTAACTTCTCCAAATGAAGTTCTTAGCAATGCATATTCCTAACCAAAAATGAAGTTTTAATATATGTACGGTAGGAAATTAAAAAACATATATTCATGGAACATGATCTTTACTTAATATCCTAATGATTTTTGGCATGAAAGAAAAATTTGACCCATACAATGTATTGTTGGCTATTGCTACAAATATACCCCAGTGACTTAAGACTTAAGACTGTGCTCCAGGGTCACATATGTGGGTGGATTTTGATGTGAGAGGAGAACAGTGGATGGACTTTATCACTGGAAAAAGCATTATTATGGATTAGGACTTTTTAGTTTGTTGATTGTTGTTGTTGTTTTGTTTTTTTTGCATTTTTGCATATTTTGGTTTGAACAGTTTGAAGTTAAAATGCCTTAATGGAATTGTTTCTTACAAGCACGCAGCTTTTCACTTCTCAAGATTGGAGTGGTGTGGATTACTTGTGGAGGTAGCTCTTTATTTTAAGGTGTCTTTGTTACACGTTACATGTACTTACTTTTATAATAACAATTAATTATGCATGTTTACATGCAAGTAACCCTAAACCAAACCCTAATCCTAAACATAGTAAGTACATGTAGTTAATTAATATATACTTTACCGTTTTTACAATTACACTGAAACGAGGACACCTTAAAATAAAGTCTAACCCTTGTGAATTATTGTGATGTTTTGATCAGCTGTTTGGACTCTCATTCTGACGGCACCCATTCACTGCAGAGGATCCATTGCTGAGCAAGTGATGTAGTGCTACATTTCTCCAATTCTGTTCCCACGAAGAAGTCAGATTTATAATAAATTTGAACTATTTGCAAAGTAAATTTTTTAAATACAAATAAGTGTGAATGTGTACATAATTTAAAAAGGCAAAACAGCAAAATGTTTCTTGTCTCGCCATATTCATTATGGATGACATGAATCATTTAAATTAAAAAAAAAAAAAAATTATTTAGAATGGTGAAATTAGACAAAAAAGGTTGAGTAGTTTGTATCACAGAATAATTGCTGTTGGTCATTTCTGTCATAAACAGTTGTCAAATATTAAATATTTAGCTACTTCGTTGAAAATAAATAAATAATTCCTACTCAATATTTTGTCTTGTTTTCCACTACAAGTATCTAGGCATTCATAAATTAACTTACATTTACTTGAGAAGCAAAATTACTTATCACGTAATTTTAATTCTAAAAAAAAGTATTTTATTTTTAAAAATTTTATTTGCTTATCAAGTATAATTAATTGCACTTAAAATATCAAATCTTGTTTTCTGGGGGGAAAAAAGTCCAAATTAAGTTTGAAAATTGAGAACAAGAAATGCCATTGGGGCAAGAAAATAATCTTGTTTTCCCTTTGAAGTAAGGGATTTTTTGTCTTTCCTCATTGGCAGAGAGTTTTTCTTCTAAGCATAAACTCACTTAGGGTGCTTTCACACCTGTAGATCGATTGCTTTGTTCCGAAACAGAGATTAAAATTATTACAATGTTGCTTTTTATTCTTGGTGCGGTTCGCTTTCACACGGCAACGTTTCTAAACGGACCAAATTAGTTAATACAAGTCACGCGCGAGTAAACTGTTCTCTCATTGGTCAAAGTTCCACGGTTTATTTTCCGGGATTCCACTTAGCTATCATGGCTGTCATCCGTATTCATTTATCATTCTGAGCAGGAGTCCAGGATTCATCGGGAAAACTTTTTTAAAATGCACTTACTACGAAGAAGATGAAAAATGAAAAAGTGCGCTTTGATTTTGAATGGCAAAGACGTGCTCACCCACAGACATTCACAGGTTCATTTTGAAGTATTAGCAAAACAACAAAGCTTATGCTTTTCACGGAACTTACGTACATCATACATTGTGATTTAGCCTGGTTCGTTGGTCCGTTGGATCGGATTGCTTTCTCACTACAACCGAACCGCTCCAGAGTTAGTTTTCAATCGAGCCGAGACCACCTCGTTCAGGCAATCTCGGACCGATTGTTTTGGCGCGGATCCGAGCGCGATTACCGTGTTCACATATGCCCAAACGAACCGAGCTAAGGGGGAAACGCGCCAGGTTCCGAAACAACAGGCCAGGTGTGAAAGCACCCTTAATTGTGAAGACTTAGTTTCTTAAGTTGTTTTGCTTCTCAAGTATATATGTTTATTTAAGAATGAGTATATATTTGTAATGGAAAACAAGACAAAAATACTGAGTAAGAACATTTTTATGTCTGAGTTACATTTTTGTATCTGAATATATGACTTGCATTAACTGTTCTCTGCATATGATATGGTGAACTTACCTTCAGGGTAAATAAGACGACTACGGGCTGAATAAATGTAAGCACAGACACACCGCTTCTTTCTTATTTGCTGAAATCATCTCAATCATCTTAATGACCCATCAGCAGCAGGCTGGCCAGAAAAGTTGCTTTAAACAGTGCTCATTTGTTTGGACTGGTGTCGGCCGGTGGCCCTGTCGAAAAGCTGATGTTAATTACAGCACAGACCGCTGCGTAGCTGTATAAATTACATACAACATGGTCTGTGGCCCCTCGCTCGTTTCCCATCATGCTCTGTGATAGCTGGATTATTGTTCACCGAGGCTGCCAGGTTGGTGTATGCCAAATCAGCACAGTAATTAGCTCGCAGTTATTGTGCATAGGTGGCCCAGAGATATATGATGCAAACTCAATATGGATGCCAAAAACAATATGGACGACTGGGGACATTTGTTTAATCACTACTAACCAAGCTGGCATCCTTTCTTGCTCAATACTTTGGTCTTGTTTTCCACTATAAATATCTGAATGTTCTTAAATCAAGACGCATTTGGAGAAATTTTGCATCATATCACTTGCTCAGCAATGGATCCTCTGCAGTGAATGGGTGCCGTCAGAATGAGTACAAACAGCTGATAAAAACATCACAATAATCAACAAGAAGCAAAGGCTGCATGTTTGAAAGTAAACAGCATTATCATTAAGACGTTTTTAACTTCAGTCCATTACTTCCTGCTAAAATCCATGATCCATAATATTGCTTTCTCAAGTCGCCTCATCTGAATTAGGAGAGAAATCTGCACAGATCAAGAACCGTTTAGCGGCCAAAACAGTATGAAGCCGTTCTAAACACATGTGTGGTTGGATTTTGATGTGAGAGGCAAAAGGAGATGGACTTTATGACTGGAGAAAACATTATTAATTATAGACTCTATTTATTTATTTATTATTAATATTATTATTATTTTTATTTTTTTTGGACAGAAGCAATGGTTTAAAGTTAAAAAGCCTTAATGATTAAATTGTTTCTTACAAACACACAGCTTTTCTTTTCACTTTTCTCAAGACATTGATGGACTGGAGTGGTGTGGATTATTGTCCTCTGCAGTGAATGGGTGCCATCAGAATGAGGGTCCAAACAGCTGATAAAAACATCACTGCTACATTTTTCCAAATCTGTTCTGATGAAGAAATCACATCTTGGATGGCCTGAGGATGACTGCATTTTCAGCAAATTTTCATTTGTTTTCCTTCACAAGTAAACAGTTTTTACTCAAAAACTAATTGAATTAGAAAAAAGATGAAAAATTATTTTCTTGAAACCGTACTCAAATAATCATTGGTTTATTTACAACTTTAAAAAAAATCTTGTTTTACATTGTAATAGAACCAAATGGATTGCACTCTGCTGTAATTGCTTGAAGCACTACATGGCTTTTGAGTGCTGTTAGCATGTTGAAAGTTATCCACATTTGCATAAGACATCACAGAAGGTAAACAAAGGAAATATGGCCATACTATAGCCGTGTAAGCCCAACACCTTAAGACGTATTCACTCGCTATAAGCTCCATCTGCCTGCACATACTTAAGTAAGCCACGCTAATGACTCGATCCCGCGCTAACAAGGCTTTGTGGCGTTGATTAGCCTCGTGGCTAATGGAGATTTAGCCTGTGGTGAGCAGGGCCGAAGGTTTGCCAAGGAAAGCAGTGCGGCTAATTAGCTGCTTGGCTAACGGAGAATCAATGAGTGGGGCGTCAGGTTAGCGTCGCAGGCTAAAGCGCTGGAGTCTGGGAATCGCTAATGAGTGCAGAAGTACGGGGCTCATTATCCGGAGCCGAGTGGTTTATGACTGAGGATGTCCGTATGGAAATGTGAGGTAGGAGAGAGTGTTCCTAGAAGTAAAACCTCCGGCTTTGTGTTGGCTTTAGGGCTGTTTCTTCTTCCCCTCTGCCTGTGGGCCTCAAGGGCTGCTGGGAATTTCTCTCACAGGGGGCCTTACCTTCATCTCCGGCTTTCCCGCTGTGCAGACACTATGTTAGCATTCCACCTGCGGCTCTCCTCTTTTAAGAGACGGAATTAAAGATCTGCTTAAATCTGACTCCTGTGAGCAGCGAACAAGTCTTCATCGGTATGGAG